ATATACAGATATAAAATTAATATTAATATTGTTAGAAATTGCACATTTAATATGTAAAAATAATATATGTGAAATGAATGAATTTGACTTGATTCGGTAGTTCTAGTATTAATTTGGATCCGAATACTTGAATATCGATACAATTTAGATATGAATACTCAATAAGATTTTATTATCTTAACATCCGAGTATATACGATATTCAGATAACAAAAAATGGATGATATAAATTCTATAGTATTAAGAAAAATTTCACAATTGGAAAATTTATATTCATATTCGATTCTTTGAGTTATAATGTCTCTGTGGAACAAATATAGCGAATAAAATCAATAATTTAAAAAAAATCAATAAATTCAATAATTTATACATTCAAGAGTCAAAATTCCAATTTTTTTTAAAAAAATTTAACTTGTTTAGATCAATATAATAATAAGTCAATACGTAATTTATTTCTTTTCCTTCTTTATATAAAAACGAATAATATATTCGTAGGACTTTTGAAGGCTCACTTCTAGATTCCAAAACAAATAAAATAATTAATTAAACAATAAAAATATATGCTTATTTAGCATTATTGAATTTCAAATTAGATAAAGTGAAATACAGAAAAGAGATATCCATCCTTCATCTGTCTTTATCTCACTTCATTTAATGCAAATTTCAATTTGTAACATAATAAATAACATTTTTGTATTTGTTTTAACTTTTAAAATCAATCCTCTAAAAATGTCACATATTAATATTCTATGTTCCAATGAATTAAAGAATGAATTAAACTTCTAAATAAATCTGAATCAATTGATGTTACTATTTTTCACTTTATACATATTACTACCTTATACATATTACTTATATGTACTTCGAGTACTCGGATATAGGATAATAAAAACTTTAAAAATGAAATATATTTTTTGACTGAACCACATTCTTTGATCTCGTAGTCTCGATAATAATATTGCAAAATTCAAGTTTGAAGATGCAATTTTGCAATCGATTTAACCGTTGCAATTTTTCACAGAGGGTGGAACATCATCTCAAAAATCGAGCAATTAAGGGACGAGCGATGGAGATTACCGCGAGTTTTTCGAGTTTAATCAGCGTAGAGAGCAGAGAGATGATTAGAACCGCGTTTCATCGAATTGAAAATTGTGAAAAAACTCGCTCACGCATCGACCGTTAAACGTTGCATCTTTCTGGAAATCGGTAACGAGAAGAAATTTTTGTGTCGATATAAACGAGCAACGATTATGGCTTAGCTCAATAATCGTGGAAAGAGAAAAAGAAAAAAAATGAAACGTGAAAACGTTTAAAAAAATAGAGATATATCGAAATCTGATTTTTTTTTATATTGAAATCTCTCTCTCTCTCTCTGAAAAGTATCTATTTTGTCAACAATTAAAATCATAAATAATTTTAATTTTTGAAATTCTTTGAAGATAATAACAATAGCCATCATTTTGCAAAAAGTTAAATTTTTATACTAAATTTAATCATTAATTATTAACTATTGTAATGAATTAGTAAAATTACTCAATGCTCATTTAGATTATTATTTTCATGTATCACAATATTTTTATATAAGATATTTATACAAATTTTACTTTTCAAATAATATATGAACAATTATTGATCTTTTTTAAAATCTTTTGATTTTGATCAGCTTGAAAGAAACTAACTTTTTAGAATTAATTATATGAAATTTAGAAAATTTAATTATAATATGATTATGTTTAACCATAAGAAATTTCGAAGAAAATATATTAGATTTTTGAATTAAATTTTTTCTAAATATCCTTCAGAAATAATTATTATTTTATGAATTTTATCAAAATTTGACTCTATTTGCACAAATTTTTTAAATTTTAAATAAATAAGAATATATTACGATTATGAAAATATGCTTGATATCAAAATATTTAAATATTTAAATAAATAATTTTGTAGATTTTAACAATGCTTTTGCAAAAATAACAAAAATATTCGAATTTCAAGAATCGAAAATTTTTCTTTCAAAAAATTTCCCAAAATAAAATAAAATAAACAGATAAGACAATAATAAGACAATAATTTAACACACGATGTTTCGAATCACAAAAATAGCGATAATTTTTTAAATTCGAGAATTCGAAATTTTTCTGATCTTTGATCACGATGACGTTCTGAACGATATTTCTTGCTTTTTATGTTTCTCTGCTCTCCACTTTGGTCAATAAAAAAAAAAGAAAAAAAAATTCCAACGAGATACCAATTAACCGTTTGAATAGTGGAACGATTAAAAAGATTTCCTCTCTCAATTACCAGTATGCCAGATTATAGGACGCAATGACGGTTATTCCCGACTAATCCGTGACTGCGAAATGACGCATTCTTTGCGGCTGGGAGTCTAATTGAATAACTGTCACTATATATCACGAACAATACCCGGTTCGAGATCAAAGACGGCAAAAGAAGAATTCAACGCTCGTCACGCTCATTCACGTTCACTCGATGCATGCATGCGAATGGATTTCAGCGCGAATCATCCTTTCCCCTCGTCAAGTTTCTTTTCTTCTTCGTTCTCGTTCAAAGGAAGCGTCAATTTTGTTTCTGAACACGCGAATTCTTCGAGTCGAGGCGTGCGGCGCCATCTTTGCCCCTTGAGTAGGCAACCGGACAGGTAGCACGATTGAATTTATTTATAGAAATAAACTCTTATTCGAATAATTATTCAAATAATAATGTGATCGAATTAATAAATTAATATTTATTTGATATTTACTAGATATTGATTATTTAATTTAATTAAAAAAGAAAATATAGAAATAATGAAGATTTATAATCGGTAATTTTAAATGAAAATTGTATTTTTTTTCTTATCTTCTATTATTATTTGAGATAATCAGATATTTATTAATAAGTAGATTATTTGTAAATTATTTATTTCATTGAATAAAATTTTTAGAATCTATTTGCAAAGCTTTGTAACATTTTTATTTCAAATGAATTTATTTCTTTATTTGAAATAATTATTTACTTGTTAATTTTATTTCAAAAAATATTCAATATTGTCAAGTATCCATTTTTACAATATTTCATTTTAATAATTTTTCCTTTTTAAAAAAATATAGCAAAACTGGATATTCATTCTTTGAATACTTTTACATCAATTTATGTTTTATAATTTTGCAATATTTGATCAAGAACATAAAATATTATTAATTAAAAAAAATAATAATAAAAATAGATATTTAGACACCCGGTTGCCTATAAGAGCCAACCCATTAAGGTCACAAATTGTTAATATTTTTAAAATTATAATTATGAAGAGAAATTTAAAATATTTACTTTCTTTAAATCATCTTTCTTTCTTTTTGCAAAAATCAATAATGTTACAAAGTTTTAAAAAATTGAATTATTTATGAATTTAAGTTGGATGATAAAATTATATTTCTAATAAAATTTAAATCAAATATTTTTTATTTCTCTATTTCGTATAGAGAATTCTCATAATATTTATCATATATTATATTATATTTGTTTAAAAAAATTCGATTAGAAATATTTTAAAATGCAACATTTTACTACAATAAAATTACTGATCAAAAAATGTGTTAACAGCATTTATATTTGTTTCTACATATCTTCTACATATCTAAATGTTAAGTAATTATACGTATAAAAATTGCATTCTTACACTACTTGGTCCTTAATGGGTTAATACAATCCTCTTTATTTAAAATGTCTTATCTTACAATTCGAAATATATATTTCTTATTAAAAGAACAAAAAAAAAAGAAAAAAAACAAATTAAGTTTAAATTTTAAATTCCAAAAGAGCGCAATAAAATTTTTTTAATTATTCTTTATTCAAAAATTAGATAATTATCTCAAAAAATAAATAAATTTTAATCAAGAACAAAAGACAGTTTAAGTAAAGAGGACAAAATCGATTAATCCGAGTCATTTTTTTAAGCGAAACGCGAGCTGCTCTGAACGCAAATCTCTCAATGTGCGATCCAAGTGTAATTACTAGTATTTTTGGTGAGTCATAACGTATCGAATTAGTTGCAAAATAACAAATCATTCCTATGCAGGTGTCACTGTACTATGGGCCTTTGTGATCCATGACTGATGGTAGTAGCAGTAATGACAGAGCGCTGTGAGCCAAAGTAAAAACAGAGTATTTTCCAAACAAGATCGAGGTGATTTTTGGGATTAGTATATCGGTATATAAAATGGAGTATGTTTGATCGCAAAGAAGCATGCAAAAATGATTGAGATGAGATATACGAGATATTGGATGTTGGAAAGAGTAATAGAAGGAAAGATAGAAGGATTTTTCATTTGCGGAATTTGCATTCGAAAATTTTTATAAACGTGAAAATAGATTGATGCATATTTGATTTTTTCGAATAAAGTTTTTTAACCATTTGTTATATATCTAATTTAAATAATTAGAATTAAATTAAATTATTAGAATTAAATAATTAGAATATTACTAATAACTAGAATTTGAAAAATCTCTAAATATAATTTTTATGATTTCTTCATCATTTTATTTGATAATAATTAACAATAGCGCAATAATAATGCCTTATTTTATTATTAGCATATCAAATTTTGAGAAAAAGGCTCTTTACATATACTAATCTATTAAAATAAATCATTGAGAAAAGTACACAGAATTGTGTAAAAATTACTTTCAATAATAAAATATTTTGAAAAAAGTATTGAGAAAACAACATACAGATTGTTTTAGATAAAAACCAGAAACTCTGCCAACAATATTTAGAAGTTTATTCTGAGAAAATTAACTATATATCAATCCAAAATATTAGAAGAAATGATATAAATAATCCAATATATTCAAGCTACTCAATTTTTAACAATAATCATTTGTTTTAAACTCATATTTCACATTGATTTACAATCTCTACAAAAAAAATTCAAAAAATTCAAAGATCAAGATATCAGATTTTCATTATTTTCCTATCCATCGATTAAGAAAAATCTCAATGAAAAATGATAAATATTTCCACTATTAGTCACTGCAAACCAATATAAAACTTAATTCCAAAAAAAAATAAAATATCAAAAATACACCGATTCATTCATCCATTTATATTTATATTTTGTATCATTTCAATTTTCTCTTCATCTCGAAAATTTCGCTCAGAATTCATTTTTATGCGAAACATCCTTTCTCTCCTGCTTCATTCACACCATTCGAATAAAAGCGCCAATATCGCAGGCAAAAAAGTGACGATACCCATACGCGTCAATGTTAATTACACGAAAAGTTTCGAAGATATAGCGTTCGATTTCTTCGAATCATATAGATATCTGACGACGATCGAACAAAGTTACGATGAATCAGTGGTAATGGGAGGCGTAACGAGACACGACGTAGCCGAAGGTGGAACATCGTGAAGGTACATTTCGAAGTCGGTTAGACGGGAGAAACAGGCTTCGATATAGAGGAAGCGAGTGACGCCGGTCTTTCAACAAAGGAGTCAAGCTCGACGCGTGTATCGTAATGGAAAACTGGAGCGGGCTTCTTGCGTGCGAGGCAAAGGAACGCTGCTTTTATATTGGGTGTTCGAACATTGCGATTCTCAACATTTTATTTCATATTTCGTGACGTGGAGAAATTATAGACGAGACTCTTTTTTTTTTCTTTAAGGATTGATTCTTTAACTAGAAATAAATAAAATGAAAGTCGAGAATAAAAAACATTGTGTATTAACGATTAAATGTTGATGCAAATGGGTTTCGGGCGAGTTCGCATTGAATTTTAATTGTCGATAACTAATAAAACGAAATTTTTTTTATTTTTCGTCTGTTTTCGTCTTATTTTGAAGAGTCATATCATATTGATTTTTGATAAGATTATACTTGAATCGTTAATAAGAAACAGACTCTAAAAATTCAAATATAATTTATTTATAAAGATTTAAAATTGTCGAAATCAAATAAAGAATTTAAATAATTTAAACTTAGGAGAATATTGTGATACGAATTTCGAGAGTTTCAAATTTTAATTCATCTCTAAAAAATATGTCATTTTATGGACTGAATAGTACCATTATGAAACTAACACGATGATTCATTTTTAAGTAAAGAAAAATCAGATATGGATCTATCAGATCATCTTTAACCTTTCAATAGTTAACTGTGATTAAATTTAAACAAGCAATTTGTGCTGAATTCTTTCCAACATTTGTATACATCTGTATACATTTTTGTTGGAGAAACTACACGATGCATATCTATTCTAGATGACGTAAGATTTTATACAACGGTCTTACGTAAAAATCTTGAGGAAATGATCAATTTTTAGGAAAATATGCAAAGTAATTTACTTAGAAAACTTTTGTTCGAAGCTAACCCAGAAGAAATGAAAGTAACGTTATAAAATATATATTTTATCTTGTATCCAAGACAATTCATTTCTATGTAAATGCTGCTTCCACAATTGAAGCACAAGATGATAGTGAAACGACAAACGGTAAATGGAACACCCTGTATTGCGGAGACGGTATTTATATGCATATGAGAATAATCAACAGTCGCTTCGTTCCCATTTGGCGAGCGGAATTTCAATGGGACAAACGTTCCGGCTACTTTGTACCCATCGACGTCGAGGTACTCTATCTCAACCTTAGGCTCTAATTTCCAAAGGATCGGCTATACTCAGATTCTATAATAGTTTAACAATAGACGCCCCTATTAATAACGATCTTCGTTTCAAACATGGTACTTTCTATGTAGCCAACGATTTATCGATGAAATAATTCGATTGATACTTTCTGCTCGAGTAATTGGTATCTAAGATTCAAAAAAAAAAAAAAA